TTAACTGGGCATTAAAATTTAATTAAAAAAAAAATAAATTGAAAAACCAAACTGAACTAAAAAAGGCTTTTGCTTCCCTTGTGAGGATCTGGTTGCTTGAGTTCAGTGTTTATTTATCACATCAACAAAGGTAACTGTGAGTGGGTGGTCACAAGAAGAACACCAAAGTGTTCTCTTGTACTGCAGCCTCTTCCTCTGCAGCTAACACTGAAATGCCTTTGCATGTCCTAGGAGAGACTGGTGATGGGAGTCTCATTTTTATTCCTGACAGGTACAAGTGGCAGGCACACACTATTATTCACTATAATCTGTGCCAGTTTTAATTTTGGACTGCTTTGGCGATCTGCTCTTACTGATCCTAGCAATTAGAATGTTCTTTCAGAGTTTTCTGGGAAGATTTATAGGTAAGGCAAAGGACAAGGTTTACACTGAAGCATATAAAAGTCATATTGTGTGTTTATATTACACAGATGTCAACATGTTCCTGACAATCATATCAACTACAAAAATATTAAAATTAGGTGTTAGATGTTCTAGTAATAATTAGAACAAACTCAAACAAGACACAACAGTGATAAAACCCTCCCTATTGCTTTGAAATAGTTTAATTATAACTAAGTCAAGGACATAAAAGTTCAGCAATCAATCTGAGAAAATGTCATGTTTTTTTTCATAAGGATTGTGAGGAAAAACATTCAAAGGACCTCATGAACATGTATTTTCCTACTTTATCTTAGTGTCACACAATATTTGATATCATATGCTACTTTATTCCTCACCAAATTCTAACCAAAGTTTTATTCCACACATTGCAGGCTAATGCTCCTAGAGTAATGCCCCTTTAACTTGGATTTATTTCATTATTTAGGAATATGCTGTAGAATTCTGTGGTTTGGCTGCCTCAGTTACGCCTTTCACCTCTGCAGAAACAGCACCTGATCATGTCGTAGTGGTGTCAGAGAGCTGTACCAGGCTTGCAGCCATAGTCCTTTTCCTATAAAGAATCACTCTGTTGTACATCAAGATTAACCTCCCCAAAGTAAAAACTATAAAACTATGATGTCCTCTTTTATTAGGCATAAAAAAAACCTCAAAAAACCCCAGAAAACCAAAACCTTTAAAAACCGAACAAAAAAAAATAAAAAAACAAACAAAAAACCAAACCAAACAGACAAAAAAAGCACCACAAACCAGAAAAAACCCAAAAAACGAAACAGTAAAATTATTAAGATACCCAAAGAAGTAAAAACTACATTTTCAGCACCCAGCTTCATTTTCTGGACTCTCACTGTACCTGGGGGTGGGATCCTCACCTAGAGGTGCTGAATTATCTCCTAGAAAACACTTGCTCTCTGCACCTATAAGAGAGCAGCTAGTGCCTTGATGGCACCTAGTGCCCTAATTTAATTTATTTAATAATAATTTAGGTGCTCAAACTGTGACCCTCCCTCTAAATATGCTATGTCTCTCACACAAGTAGTTTGTTGCTAATTTATGAGATAGTGGTGAATGGAATCATGAAAAAAAACCCCAAAAAAAACCCCAAAACCACACCCACACAAAATAGTCTAGAAGTTGGGAAGCTAGGGAAGAAATTTGGTATAAAAGGCTATCTGGAAGAAGGAAAGACTCTTCAGAGCCCAAGCAAAGGGAGAACATCCAGGCAGGTCTGGGTACCTAGGCTGGCTTTAGGGTGTTGTGTAGCTGTCAAGGCACTGCTGCAGGGTGAGGAAATCATCCCCCAGTACTCAAGTTTTGTTCAGCTCCCTTGGAGCACAGCTCTGAGAGCCCCGAGATGTCTGCACTGCCGGGATGCTCAGTGTGTGCTGCAGACTCCATCTCCCCATTCCAGCAGATTCTGCAGTCCTGCCTGACCTCCTGCTGCTCTGTGCTCCTCGGTGTGTGTGTTAAACCTGTGCTTGTAAGAATTTCTTTGCCTTTGACTCCAGCACTGAGAGATGTGTGATTAATGACTGCCCTCTCTACCGCCTGGAAAATCGTGAAAATGTCTCTGAAATACTTTCTCATGGATTAAGCTGTACATCACTTTGGTTAACCAAAATATTTTAATTCTAAGCCTTTTTCCCCCCACTACTTATTTGCCTAGGTGAAGTTGTCTGAGATTTTTTGTTTGTTTGGGATTTTTTTTTAAAATTTTATAATAACTTCATCAAAATGAGCATTTTCTTTAGGAAATTAAATATGTTCAAAAAAAGTAATTTTTTCCCTCCTTTTTAAATCAAAACTATCTGTTGAACACCATGCTGATTATCATATGATTTTGTTTCCTGTTATTCTTTTTTCCACCTAAATGTTCTGGATCAAATTTACGTTACACAATTCTAGCATATTTATTACAATATTATATGTTATAATTCTAGTATATAAAGTCTGTTTTCAAGAGGTTGGGCTGGAAGAAAAAGACAGATTGGATGTGAGACTGAATCAGTCACTGTGCAGTGGTCTGAAAAGAATGTTAACATTAATTTTACTAGCAATATGTGAACTTCAGTCTCCCATAATGATTAAAAAAATCCTCAGATGGCAGAAAGATTATACTAAACTGCAGTGGCAGTGTCTTTTCTGGGCTGTGTTATGAAAGTAACAGAAATTCTTCCCCTGTTCTTCCAAAAAGTAAAACAAAAAGAGGAAAAAATTACTCTTTCCAATATGTACAGGAGACATAACAAATCCAGGGCATGAGCATAGTTTTGACATACTGTATGGCAATTTAATATAGCTTAGCTAAGCAGAACTACAAATCCTTTTGATGTTTAAATATATGTTATTTGCAAAGGAACAATTTCACAGATTTTGCCAGTATTACTAGCTCTTTATAGATTATATTGCAGCAGAAAATAAAAAAGCAAAAGTCAAAGATAGGGAGCTTTTGAAATGGGTCATTTAGTATAGGAATTGAATGCACTGGTGGTTAACATGTGAAGACACCCCTATATTAGAGAAGAGATCAAGGCTGTCATGTGTTTCTTTTAGTTTAAAGGCAATGGAAGTGGAAATCCAGTTTAGTAATCTTAGAAATGTATCCAAAACTAAGCAACCAAGAGATGGGAGACTTCAGAAAGAAAAGGCAGCCTGTGTATATATGACATAATGTTTTGTAAGGACAATAAATGAATAGTTCAACAGAAAGAGAAAGGTTGTAAAAATCTTTTTAGTGTGGTAAAAACCAATTCTCTACAGATGAAACTGCAAATGTAGACTCTTTTATTACATTTATAAATGAGGAAGTTCAATTACCTAAAGTGCATCTCATCAGCAAGATTTTCCAAAGCATTAATGTTGGTCTGACAGTCCCACTGATGTCATTGGCCTATCTATACTGATTTCAATACAGAAACTTTAAAGGCACTGGTGAAAACTTTTAACAAACTTAATCCTCTTTGATTTGTTATATGGCATGATCCCTGGGGAAGGGAGTGTGGCACATTGATGGCTTTGGTTTGACAGGGGGACTAGATAATTTTAAGCAATGCCCATTTCATGTGCACTCTTGAAATTTCAGTTTAGCTCCTTTGGCTGCAGCTAAAGAATAATTATATGATTTTTTTTGTATAATTCCTCAAAAGAGAAGCTTTTCCAGTACTTATAGTTTGTTTTCATTCTTTTCCATAATGTAGGTCTTCATGTATACTGTGAATAAAGTGCTTAAATATCATTTCTGTGAATATTAAAAGTCAAAGAAAATAGATTTCGGGCCACCAGGCTACTCCAGACAGGGGATGAAAAGGTCTCTGCTCCTGAGACCATCTGCAAGGTAATCAGTGATTGAACAGAGAGAATGACGATCCTGTAGGCATTAGGCTACAAGCCAGGATTTTGAGACCTTCCAAATCTCTTTTTGGGCCTTTAAAAAGTAACTATAGAACTTTGAAGATGGTTTCCTGTCCTTGTGGCTCACAGCTGTGCAGCTGTGGCTTACTCACTTCACTGACCCATGCCACTGATTCTCTCTGTCTTGACTGATGACTTGGAGGTGACGTTCAGCCACCTCCTCTGATTAATTCCCTGCAGCAAACACACTCCATTCAAATTACTGCGTAGCTGAGAAGAAGAAACATGTAACGATTTTATACCAGAAATCAGAGGCTGGAAAATTGCTTTGGAAGGCTGAGAATGCTTTCCTGGAATCTCTGTTTGCAGCAAATATTATTCACACATAGTGACTTTGGGACCTGAGAAGGCTGGGAATGTAACTCACAAACTGGACCCAATTTTATTTTTATGGTTTTGAATGGCTTGTTTTTGCACCAGTCACTGATTAACACTTTAAAGCCAGAGTGATGACATCCTCAGACTCCCTGAGCCTGTGAAACTTGTAAAACTTTGTCAGTTTAAAGACAGGATTTCTTAAACAAATTGTATTTAACTCCAGCAGCAGACACTTTTGTATCAGCACATTGAAAAAACACTGAAGAATAGAAGATGTCCTGTAACTTGTCTCACCCTGTGCTGATAATCCATCAGATCTAACAGGCTGAGCAGTCATGGACTGTGTCAGTGCTCGGGTAGGCACCTCCAAGAAGTGCACATTATCAATTCAGCTCCTTTTTCAGGATCAATGAATCCAGTGTGTGGGACCTGGGAGTGCAGGGAATTAGGGTTTTGAGTAGCACATCAGTAACTTGTCCCGTTCCTCTGTGGCCAGGAGAGTAATTTATGGTGCCTTCATAAATGCTACTTTATAAAAATTCTCAAAGACATAGACTAATGAATAAATTTAGCACTTTCATCCTCAAAGTATATGATTTCTCCTAACTTTCAAAGCCATGCACTTTTTAATTTTAGTTTTTTTGGGGTTTTTTTTAACCTCTCTTCTTTCCCTCACCCATTATTTCACATCACATAATGTATAATCCTAAGTAGTCCTTGCAGTCTCTCACATTCTTTCAGATCCGTGCACTCCCCCACATCTTGGTATGCTTCCACCACCTCATGTTTATTTATTTAAATAAAACAAAGGAAAACTGTCTTTCTCACAGGAAAATGGCCAATTTGGGCAGACAACTTGGACAAAGAAGAAATCTGCGTGAATGAGTATGGAAAAGCCCTGCAGTGTCATGAGAAGGTCAGGCCAGGGAGAAAGGAGCAATCTATGCCCAAGGACTGTCATCAGCAGGACAGATTATCCATTTCCAATTTAGATATTTCTGTACTGAAAGTGTTGATAGTTGGTCATGTGGATATTCCCAACATCTTCATCTGGACTGTCAGTAAAAGATATCATCACTTATGTAAGGAAGGACATCTTAAGACAGGCTCTGAGGCTGTGCATCTCTCCAGCTCCAGTGTTAGCTGCCCTTGTGGTATTGTTGTATTGCATTACATTAAAAAAAAATAATAAAAAAAAATAAAATAAAATTCTGTTTGGTACAGAATTTAAATTTGTGTCTTGCTGGGAATTGGGCTGCCTGCAAAATCCCTTTTCATTCCCTGCCCCAAGATTATTTAGTGATGTTGATGTGCTTTATTGAATAGCAGCTTTGTTCCAAAGGCTTCACTTTGGAAGAGTATGAAATGATCTCTCCTATTCATTTGTAAAACAGTTTGTGATGAGAGTTATTGTATGTGCTTAGTCTTATTGTTGGTTTTTAAATCTGAATACCAATTGTCTACAAAGGCTGTACATTTTGTTGGTTTCTAGCCTGCTTGCCCACATACCTTTCATTCCTCCCAATTGTTTTTGAAGCTGTTGCATTCTTTTTATAATTCAGGAAGCTGAAAGATCTCGGATTCCCAGTATCCTCGTGATAGCAGGTTGAGGGGACAGCTACAAGCAGTAATAATGTAGTAGTAGTAATAAGTAGAAAGGCAGGAACTCTGCCCCTTGCCCACTCACTGGGGCATCTTTGGCTTGCCAAGCCTTAAACACAGAGTTCCCAGTCAGGAGAGGACTAGTAGAGGCTATAAAAGTGGAACATGGGAGTGCTGCAAAAGACGTGGGGGCTGACTGCATGTATTTGTGTTTTTATCTGTCCCACTGCTCATGAAATGCTGCCTATCCACATTTAGTGTTTGAATGCATTCCAGTTGGTGCTCAGTAAGTTTATAGCTTTTTGTGTCTGGATGTGTAGAAAATGTGGCATTTGGAGTTCTAGTTAAAAGAGAGAAAAGAGGGATATAAGTAGATTAAGAGGCCACAGGAAGACTGTTGTGATTTATCTGTGGGGCCAATCTGCTGCTGAAACTTGAAGAAACTCTGCTGTCTATGGCACCATTGTGGTGACAGAAAAGCAAACAGTGGAAAGTGCATAGTTGTGGGGCAGGGAGACAAGTGGCCATACTCTTTAGCTAGCCATCATTGCAGAGCAGCCTTATAAATCTAACAAGGAAAAACCCTTCTTTTTATGTAGGGCCCTTCTGAAATTCATGAAGAATACAGATTTTATCACACAAGTGTAGTTTGTGTTAAATGTGCCCCAATGATTATACTTGGCAGGCTTTGGCACGTTTTTTTACTATTTGTTTATCTTTGCTGCTGTATTCGTCAGCTCCATCTTGGAATGTGTGCCCCATATTAGCAAGCAAATGAAATACTTGCTCTAGTCAAGTGTAAACAAATTATTCCTTCCTGACTGTGAAAGCTGTGAAGAAACCTGGAATGTAGTATGTAATTAAAGATACATGTTTTAGATAAACACAGTGGCTCAGTGTTTTTACTGTGTTCGTCATCTCAAATGTGCCATCTGTGGATGATGAGTGAAGGAGCTATATATAGAAGTGGGCTCACTGTGTACAGACTTCCTTAATTTTATGGGACTCCAAACATATTGACATTTCCTGGTGGCTTAAAAGAGGCAGTAAATTACAGTCCTGCTTTTGCTGGTGTGTGCCCTGTTAACCAATGCCTTAGGAAAAGTGTGATTTTCTTTTTTAACTTATTGCAGGTTAAGGGAAAGAATAAAGGAATAAAATACCCAGATTTCTCAGAGCCTGTGAGCAAAGCCAGAGCAGGAAATTCACATTGTGAAGAGCTGTATAAAAGTTGTCTGTGCATTTACTGTTCTTTTTTGTTTTTGCTTTACAGAAATATTTCTTCATAATAAGTGTGAATTTTAAGCATAAAAGGTCTTGCCTGTACAGAATGAGAACTCAAGCAGAATTGAATAGGTATTACTCCATAAACCTGAAACTACAAATTAAACTCAAGTCTTTGGGACACAGAAAGGAAAAAAAAAATGTACTTCTGATCTTAGTACAGGTTAACATGCTGAGGAGTCACAACAAAGTGCAAGGAGAAAAGTGGGGATAAAGACCCCTTTGCAGAAATTCTTAAGTCTGGCATTGAAATATTAATGACATTCCACCAAGTAAAATGAAGCTTGAGAACCAATCACAAACAAAACAAAACAAAAGTCTGAATTCAGACCGAATAATGCTTCCTATTCAATAGGCAGTATTTGTTCACTTTAATACATTGAATGGGTTAATTGACTGGGGCTATTTGTGATAGGTTATGAGGGGAGTGTTTTTCAGATGGCCTGAAATAACTGCCTTTAATGCACATTGGGGTGTTTAGCATGTCTTTTTATATCATTCAAGATTTTTGTGTAGATGCCTATATGGCAATCTTTGTCCTGATCATGTGTCCTGGGTTGTGGAATCAACAGCTAAGTGGTCAAGAACAAAAAATAATGCCCTCTCACACAAACTAAAGCATGAAATAAGATAAGTGCTGCTTGCACAGGGTTTTTTGTCATTTGTGAATTAGTGGGAAGAGGAGGGGAACTGAGCACCTATGGATGCAACAGTGGCTTAGTGTCACCCTGAGAATTAAACCTTCTGATCTTGTTTTCATAGTTTCTAAACACTTTCCCAGGAAAGTAACTATAAACATAGATGTTTATACATTCCATTAAAGAAATGTCTTTTGATGGATGTTTCTCACAACCAGTGTGGTTGGGAAGGTGGTGACCTGACTATCCAATCCCTGGTCGTGGTCGAGAATCTGTAAACACTGAAACCACAAAATAAATCGTTCTCTTTTTTCTATCACACATTGAGCTGTGTCTGTGTGAATCATTTCATGTCCAACAGCGACAGCTTAGCACAGCTCTGGGACTGGCCATTCCATGTCCTGGCATTGTGAAACAACCAGGAGATTATCTCAGGAACTGTTTGAGAAGACAGGTATAAACCAGCAGGATGACTCTGTGTATTAGTGGCAAGGTGCCACGTATGTCTGACTTTTGAGAATATTAGTTCAGTTTTGAACACTGTTATTAGTTTAAAAATAGTCACTTGTCTAGGGAGGATACAATTTCCTTAATATTTCTTTAAGTTGTCTAGTATTTGCTACAGTCTTAAGTTTTAGCAAGTGTATTTGCTATTTCCTATGGCAATGGATTTTTTCCTTTCTGTTTAGCTTCTAAATTTCTGGTGCAAGTAAAATTCCTGCTGGATTCATTGAAGAGCAAAGAAACCAGCTGGCTGACTCAAAGACTCACAATAAAAAAACTGGAGAGACTAATAATGGGAGACACTGGACCATTTATCTACATATTTTATACCTGTATTGAAGACAGCAATTAATTTCCAAAAGTAGGACCCATCAGTGAGAAGTTAATGTTTGACATCACTCTTGCCTGTGCAGTTAGATATTTTGGGTTTGGATACAGTTTTCTGTCATGCATGTTCTTGTTAAAAAGCCCCAAGTCCTGTCTGCTTTTATGAATTACCTACTCCTCCTTGTGGCTCTTTTACCAGTTCTTTAGTTCACAGAGATATCCCTTTGAAGGAGACCTATCAAAATAAATGTCCACAGTTAAGTCCAGTCAGAAGTTTCATTTTTTAATTAATATTAATAATTGTGAATACTGATTTTTTTTCTCTCCTGTTTTTATTGATGGTGTTGTTTTGATTCTAAATTCAAGGCAATGACTTAATACCTATCTAGGAAAGACAGACTATGAGCTCAGCTGAACTCAGAGAGGTCAGAGTTAGGTAGGACCACATCCAGCCTGATGCTGTATCTAAGATCTCAGATTACCTTGATACACCTCTGGTGGTATCCAGGATTGGGGCCTTTGCATGGAAATAAAAGTAAGGCAATAAGTAATAATAGATTTATTAGTTTAAATTCAGCTACAGCTTAGTGCTATTAAAAATTTATACTTCTTGCTATTTTTAAAGCCCTGTACTTAATAACTCGTAAAAATTTTTTTTAAAAAAAGTTGACTGAAAAATCTATGAAAATAATATTGTCATGCTAAAGGAATTAAAGTTGTCATTTAAGGGCCAATATGACTGAATATAAAATTTTGAATTATAGCCAAGATATGTTTTTGTTAACGCATCAGTGCCACCTGTCTGACTTTGGTCTTGATCTTCCAATTTCCTCCTGTTTCACAGACACATTCCAACACCTCTTAAGCACTGTAGGGTCAGATGTTTTAGGAGCAGGCTGTGCTGGATTTTCAAAGAAACAGAGCTGTAATTTCCTGCATTGAGTTTTTCACTCATAGTACCTGTTTTTCAGGTTTCATAATAGAAAAGAGTTAAGACACTTCATTTTGTCTCTCCTGTCCTTAGCCAAAACAGCAGGTCACTGTCTCCACTGGCTGGATCTCTCTGCCAGGGATGACTGACACCAGGAATTGCTGGGGTTTCCACATCTCTGGTTGCACAGTCTGTCCCGAGGGCTTACAAATGCAAACTATGCAGGTTGACCAGGGATTCAGTTCTCTACCCTTTAGGCTGCCACCTGTTTTCAGAAAATAACCACATCCTTTCCAGGACTTCTAGGAAATAAATGTTACAAACACAACACTTATTTACACGACCTGCTTACCAGCACTGTGTAGAAAGTGCAGAAACTGTGCAGAAACAAACCCAAAGTGTGACCTTCTCTGCCACAGAAGAGGAGGATTCCTGCATGCAGGGACAGAAGCCACTTCTGGGCAGCCAGTTGCCTGCTGTGGCTCATGTGACAGCTTTCCAGTTGGCAGCTTCTATGAGGAGATTCTTCTGATGGATAAAATAACAGATTTAGACTAATATGGGCTCTTGTAGAGATTTCCTCCCTGTCACCATCTCTTGTGCAATATAACTTTGTCCCCATTTTGCAGATGGAGGGGACAAAAAGATTTCTGATTTTTTGCCTTTTCCAGGGAGCTTTAGCAAGTGCTGTTCCTACAGCAGTGGCAATGGCAGCTGCTCTGTATTTCTGTGTGATTCAGTGATACAAAGGCCTTTTGATAATCTGTATTTCAGCAAACTGACTGCAACACACTGATTTAAATTGGGGGAAGAAT